CCTCCCACCCTCAATTTTTGGCTCTGTGATATCTCATTATATTCTAAAGAGCTATCTGCAAGGCAGGGCACCGGGATGCAATTAAATCTGCTTCTGTAGCAACACTGCTCTTAAGCAAAATATGTTGATCGCCGAAGCTTTGAACCCACTTTAATCAAGTAATCTAAACAGGGCTTAAGCTTCAAAAGCCGAGCGATGTGCCCGGCTTCAAAGCGCTTACTTACACTGAATTAATTTATCCTGGATGTACTAATGCTCCCCACAACCCTGTGAATTATAATGTTAGAGGTTGCAATCAGGGCTCTGATAATATCCCCAAAGCCCGGCTGCTATTGATTGTCATGTAAAAAGCCACAAAGGGGAGTGGGGTGGAGGGAAGGGGAATAAAGGGATTGGGGTGGATAGAACAAGACTGAAGTGTCCCTGTCCACGTGGGGCCAGGCGCCCAGTGCTAGTTTGGGGAATGGGATTGGAAGGAGGTTGGGTCTGCACTCCGAGGTGCTACATTAAGAGGGGGAATTGCTTTAGGAAGCTCCAGCTGTGACTCTGAGGTGGAAGCCAGGGAATGGCTTGTGTGTGGATTGTGGACAGGGAGGGAAATTGGACATCCGTTTCAGAGGCCAAGTTGCCATTCACTCTCCCACTGGTAGCTACCTCTCCCCACATTTACTCAGGCAATCACATCTCCTTGACCTCAATCCCTGGCTTTTGAGTGCAGCCCCTACCAACATTCCACATCTGGAGCTTGTGACCTTATTATTTATTTATTAAACAATTTATTGAGAACTTTCTATGTGCCACACATTATTATTATTGCTTTGAGACAGGGTCTTGCTCTGTCTCCCAGGCTGGACTGCAGTGGTGTGAACATAGCTCCCCGCAAACTTGACCTCCTGGGCTCAAGCGATCCTCCCACTTCAGCCTTCTGAATAGCTGGGACTACAGGCACAAACCATCATGCCTGGCTAATTTTTTATTATTATTATTTTTTGTAGACACAGGGTCTAGCTATGTTGTCCAAGCTGGTCTCAAACTCCTGGGCTCAAGGAATCCTACCACTTTGGCCTCTCAAATGTGTTGGGATTACACGTGTGCACCACCACTCCCAGCCTGTGCCAGGCATTATTCTAGGTTCTGGGAATAGAGTGGTGAACAAGATAGACAAAAGTCCTTGGCCTCATGGAATTTATTTTCTACCGGCGTGGGGTGGAGGAAGACTAACACACTGCCTATTTTACTTATTTGTTTAGTTACAGTCTGATGATGGTATCTGCTCTAGAGAAAAATAAGACAGGAGATAGGAATAGGGAATATGTGAGTGTGCGCAGCAGGTGGTATCAGTGTGAGTTCAAATCCAGGGGTCCTCGTTGGGAAGGTGACATTTGTGCAGACATCCAAAGAAGTGGGAAGGAGCCACACAGACCTCTGAGGGAAGATACTCTGGGTAGACGGAAGAGCAATGGCCACGGCCCTGAGGCGAAGCATGCCTGGGCTGTTTGAGGAACAAGAAGGAGGCCCATGTGGCTGAGGCAGAGTAGGCAAGAGGGAGAATAGGATGACGTGAAGCCAGAGAGCATGTAAGCACCAGACAATGGCCAAGGTTAACTGGTGTATTTTGTTTCCTTGGCCACAGTGATGGTTCAGGGATGGGCCAGTGACATGAACCATGAGGGAGATATGGGCTGGGTGATGGGCAGCCATCTTGTCACCACATGGAACCTGAGAAGAAAGTCAAAATGGAGGACAGGGTCGCTGAGGGATGGGTGTCGTGGACTGAGCTCCTGAATCCTACTGAGCCTGAAAACTTTACATTCCTTGGCATTTTCAATTTCTGGGAGCCAGTAAATCCTCTTTTTTCCCTATTTTGAATTTTTTTCTAAATAAATCTTCAGACCTCAAAAGTCCCACCTCTTGACACTAAGTTCACAGGTGAAACATACCCCCCCAGCATCCGCTTGCTGTCTGTGTCATGCTGGAGGCCCCAGGCTGGCTCTCCTCTCACCTTAGGAGTCAGGGGGGGGGGTCCTCCCTCTCCCTCTGCCTCTAAAATGCACCTGATGGCAGGGATGGAGGATGGCAGAACTCTGAACTCCTTCTCAAATTCCATTTTTCTGTCTCCCACTCCATCTCCCCCAGATCGTTGGATCCTGTTGGCCCTTTCCTACCTGAAGAAGAGAGAGTACTGGTGTGCTGGATTTTACATATGTTGAGTTTTTATGTATGTCATTGTATTTTTACCATTTTGCAGCTCTAGGAGGTAGGTATTGGCAGCGTTGATGTTTATCATATTACCATGATGGTATATGGCTGGCATCTCATTCTTATGTTGGTAGCCATGCCATACAGGCTGCTTACATTTTTAGAAATGACTTTTGGATATTAGTATACCTTTGTACCCTAGATGCCAGCAGAGGTCCCCTGCCCTTTGAGCTTTAAATTAAATTGATTCAGGCCTGTAATCCCAGCACTTTGGGAGGCTGAGGTGGGCAGATCACTTGAGGTCAGGAGTTCAAGACCAGCCTGGCCAACATGGTGAAACCCTGTCTCTACAAAAAATACAAAAATTTGCCAGGCATGGTGGTCTGTGCCTCAGGTGACTGAGACACGAGAATCACACAAACCCGGGAGGTGAAGGTTGCAGTGAGCTGAGATCGTGCCACTGCACTCCAGTCTGGGTGACAGACTGAGACTCTGTCTCAAAAACAAGCAAACAAACAAATTAAGTTGATTCCAATGCTGCTGTGTGTGCAATCACAGCCAGCCATGTTTCCTCTAATCTCCTAGGAGATATGTGGGGGGTGGGAGCTTATGTTTTCCCATTGATCTCTGGCTTCAAGCTCCTCTGGCTTCTTGCAAATTCTCTTGCTGTTCCTCTCATGTTGCAGCCTGTTTCTGATCACATCACCCAGGTATGGAGTGCTCCCTCCCCTCCTCACCACTACACAACACATATTATTAACTCAAAGCATTTGTATGTAGAAAACTATACTGAAGGTTTAGAATGTTGAATGGGGATGCTTCACCGCAAAACAAGAAAAGAAATTGAATATCACACATCCCTCTGTTGGCATTTAGTTGGCCATTTCCAACAAGAGGACTCTCTCCCGTGTGGCCTTTCTCCTCCCAGTTAAGCCCTCACCCTTCACTTTTCTGGGTCCCCTTTCTTTCCCAGCTTTTCATCTCCTCTTTCCCATTTGATTCCCAGTCACTTTTGCAAGATAAAAATGTGAGTTCTCCAGCCCTACTCACCTCTAGGCTTACCTGGAAGCTCATTAGCATGTCTGCTCATCAGGGGCACATTCTCTCCAAGTCCCTCTTTTGAACAGCACAGAGGAGCCAGCACGGCTTTCCACTTTGGTCCTTCCCTTGTTCCAGCCATACCAATCTCTGCTGGGGAAGGTGTGCATTAGTGATATATTCCTCAGTGTTATGAATGATTCCGTAAGTGGCAGAAGTTGCCACAGGAAACCTTGGCTTTAAGAACTAAACTTTTTCTCTATATTACATCCATGTTAACGGGGAGAAAAAGAATGCTTCATGAGGTTAGGTGGAGAAGTAATTTGCTCAGTCTAGCACAGCTAGGATCCAGGAGAAGAGGGATTGAATTCAGGTGTGGTGATGGTAAATTTATGCCATTTCCGTGATGGCATCATGAATCCAATAAAAATTGCTTTGCTGTATTTACCGAGATTCACCCACACACATTCACTAAACTCTTACATGAAAGCACCAGGCTGAACAGGTTGTGGTTGGGGGTGTGAGGACGGAAAATCAATGGTCCCTTCCTAGAAAGAATCCTTCATCTCACAGGGAGACAGACCCGATGGCCCATAAATTAAAGTGGAAGTTCAGGAAATTCAAGAAAACAGGATAAAATACTCTGAAAATCTTTTACCTCTCTATTAAGGAAGTAGCAAGGCAGTGATTATGAACTTGGACTCTGGTGACCCTGGGCGAGTTCCTTACTTGCTCTGTACCTCACTTTTTTTTCAGCCGTAGAATGAAGACAATAATAGAACCCTTCTTATAGGGTTGGTGTGAAGGTTAAATGAATTAATACATGCAATATACTTAGAACAGCACCTGGCACCTAGCAAACACTCAATAAATGTTAGCTATCACTATTAACGTATGGTGTACATGGCCAAAAATGATTTTGCTTGATAAATATTATGATCCCTGATCATCAAGGGAGGAAACTGAAGGACAGAGATGAGACAATGTCCTCCAGGTCACAGAGTCATTTTGCTGCAGAGGGAGGAATAGTAAGCAGGTCTTAGATGCTGGTCCAGCATTTTCCTATTCCTGCATGTCCCAACTGAGAGTTGAGAGTGTACAGGAAAGACTACTGATCACACTTTTTGGTAGAAATGGTGGCTTTGATTTTGAGTGGGCTGTATTCAGGAATGGGTGATAAGGAAGGGTGATGTGATTTTTAAAAAAATGTGATAAGGAAGAGTGACATGATTAAAAAAAAAAAAAAAGTAGTCATTCACCAAAATCCATTCTTCTCATTGTCCATGGTGAGGGTTCAGTGGCGGATGCATGCTGAACAGTGGAGGACCAGGTTTCCCAACATTCCTTGTGTCGGGGCAGCGGCCATATTGAAAAGTTCTCACTTGCATATTGTGAGAAGAGGATGAACCATCCCCAGGATGACATCTTAAGACACAGAGTGTGGTGGGTGCACAGCCGAGTTCAGTCTGCTGAAGCTGTCGCCAGGCGCAGGTGAAAGGGCTCCTGCACCGTGCCCTGTGCTCCCCACCTGCCTGGCATTGTGCGCAGAGCAGGAAAGCGTGGCTGTTACAAATGCATCCTGATTTGGGGGAGCAGCAGCCAACTACCTTCATATCAGTCTCTCTCTTTAAAAGGTGAGGTGAATCGGTGATTTTCCTGAAAAATTACAGGTATCCAGCTAAGATCTGAATGCCATCACCCTACCCAGGGCTCTGCAGTTTTCTCGTGGTGAACCCTTGATGGATTTGTTAGTTGCTTGAGAAATGGCTATGAGCAGATTGAGGTTAGGAAGACAGAATTTTCATCGGTTAAAGAGGAAGAGCTGATTGCTGTTGAAACTCATCGTCTTTGCTGTGCTTCTGTTTTGTGAATTTTTAATCTACTACTTAGTGATCTTCTGGTGTAATTGGCCTGAAGTGAAAACCACAGCCTATGATGGTGAACAGGCCATGCATGAGCCTGTGCTCAAAGTCATGTCTTTGGCTGACACCTACTTGCTTGGGGAATTCCTAGGTCACTGGTTGGACAAATTACGAAGGAAATGGCAGGTGGAGAGAGTCTTCCAGACAGCTCTGTGGTTGCTGCAGCCAGAAGTCGTCTTCATCCTGGAGGATGCCTTTGATGAAGGGAAGTGGAGCACCCCTGAGGCCTGGGCGGATGATGTGGAGCAGTTTCAGAAAATGTTCAGACACCCAAGTCATGTGCAACTGAAGGTAGTTGCTGGAAACCATGACACTGGCTTCCACTGTGAGATGAACACATACGAGATAGAACAGATTGAGAAAGTGCTCATCTCTGAAAGGCTGTTTTCGCTGAATGCCTCTGAAAGGCATTCACTTTGTGATGGTCAACAGCATGGCACTGAAGGAGGACAGCTGTGGCATCTGTTCTGAAGCAGAAGCAGAGCTTATTGAAGTTTCTTACAGACTGAATTGCTCCCGAGAGCGTTATCCTCTGTATTGGAGAAGCGACGCTAACTGTTCTGGGGAAGATGTTGCTCCTCCGGAGGAAAAGAACATCCCATTAAAGGAGAACTATGATGTGCTTTCTTGGGAGGCATCACAAAAGCTGCTGTGTTGGTTCCAGCTACAGCTGGATCTCAGCGGCCACATGCACAGCACCTGCGAGGTGCACCACGGGGGACAAATCCCCGAGCTCAGCTTCCCGTCTTTCAGTTGGAGGAACAGAAACAACCCCAGTTTCACTATGGGTAGCATCACACCCACAGACTATGCCCTCTCCAGGTGCCACCTACCACGTGAGGACGTGGTTTTGATCATCTACTGTGGAGCGGTGGGCTTCCTTGTGGTTCTCACACTTACTCACTTTGAGCTTTTAGCCTCACCTTTTCTTTCTGGTTTGAACCTGCTCAGAAAGCATAAGACAAGGTGAAAAGCAGGCAGCGTTTGCACTTAGTAATAAATATCAAAGCCCAAGAAATGGAACTTTGGACAGAGATCATGTTAGAATCAAGTGGATGATGAGACTAAATACAGGCCATCTCTCTGCACATCACAGACATTCTCAAATACTGAAACGGGTTACTGCAGAATAAATAGTAGATTGTACTGTTCTCATGCTATAAAAATGGAACAGGTACTCTACAACAACAAAAACAACAACAACAAAAGACACAGAGTGGTTCTGCCATGCTCCTTCTCCCCTTCTTGCTGGCTACAGAAATGATCAGATAGATTAGCAGACTCTAAAGTAAGACTCCTCAAACTACCTGTGTTGAAGAACATGATTTCCACCCAACTCCAATTCCCATCTATCATGGACCAAATTTTGGTCTATAACCTGTTCAATGAGCCGAGTCCACTGGTCATGTGCCTGGATGTCATGACAACGTCAAATCGTGGTAAAAGTTTCCGAAAGCGTATTATCCATGTCACAACTCAATTCATGGTGGACTTCTACCAAGCAGTTTGTGGACTGGTACTTGCCTATGGTCCACACTTAAGCAGCACTGCTCCCAGACATGCAGAGACAAGCTGAAAGGTACCAGGGTTCCTGATGGCTGCGTGGGGCAGAGTGATCTGCCAGCCTAGAATGTTCAAATCAGATGCTTACATCTGAGAAAAAGAAACGAAAAACCATATTCTTTACTGTATCTTAATATTGCTTTCTCCAGGAGGTATGCTTTACCCTAATATAGATGGGTCATGCCATGTATTAAAAGGAAGAGTGGACTTTTGAACCAGGCAGAATGACCCTTGCTGTAGCCCAAGCTGTAGACACATTGGCTCTACTTGCTGGGACAATGCCACGCCTCCCCAGGACATTCCTGGGTGCTCATGGTGTGCCATACACTGAAGGATGACGCAAGGCCACCGATCCCCTGCCAACGGATCCCTCGCTGGATTCCTTTTCATCTGTAGATTCTTGGTATGTGTGGGAATGATTTGGATCCAAGTAAATTCATGTTCTGAGGCTCAAAGAAAATCAAAGGTGTTGAAGTGCTTTGATCTGAAGGCTAGTTCATAAAACAGCTTAGTTTAGTTCATAAAACAGCTGGTGCTGAGAGAAGATTGAAGTAAGGATTTGAGGACCCCTGTAAGGTCTAAGAGATCCTAGGGGGGCAGTGAGCAGGGCCTACACTTGGAAATTAGACTGATGTGCTTCTGATGCCTAGAGTCACAAATTCCAGCTGAGTGCCTTTGGGTGAGTCACGTGGTGTCTTCTCTGTAAAGGAAGACTGTAATGATGACATTGCAGGAGTGGTATGAAGGTCTCCAAGAAGGTACAGAAAGACCTGCATGCAACTGGGTGGCAGCCAGGGCCCAGCAAGGAACAGATGGCACATTCAAACTGGGTGACTGGAGGAGAGAGAAATTAGGAGACCACTTACAAAGGTGCAGCAGGGATGGGGAGACTCACAAGACACAGCGTAGTACCTGGCTGGCAATGGTGCGTAGGGGCGGAGGAGTGGGGGTAGCTGTTATAGCTGTTAGCCTGAAGGGCAAAGGAGAAAACAGTTGTCAGAATCCAGAACCCTCGCTCCATACAGGTAGCATGACGGGGAGGGTCATCCAATAGGAGTGGAGGTTGATGCCAGGAAATACACTGCCAACCCCTGGTGGTATCTCTACAGGGTATGAACTGGAGAATAAACCTGATTTTACTCTCTTCCCACCCTCCTAACTCTGGCTGCTTCTTCCTGCTGTCCAAACTCCAGTGGAAGGCAGAGGATAAGGGGGCCTTTCAGGCAGGCCAGCGTCCCAGGCTCAGAAGAGGACGGAGAAGCAGGAAGGAGAATCCAGGAAGGCCAATGACTTCATCCTCCCAACCCAGCATATAGAAGCTGCTCAACTTACAGGAGCACTTAAAAAGAATTTATAGTCTGGATGTAACTGCAAGTAAGGTCACATGCTTCCTCTGAGGCACCACTTAACTGAAAATTGGACCTTGCGAATGCGAGGCATGCAGGTCTGTTCTCACCTGGAGCAGAGAGGATGAGCAAATGGTTCTCTCTGTGCTGGCCTCTTGCCAGATCCTTTTCCACTTCTTTATTCCTCGTTCTCTGCTGTCCTTGCCTAGGAAACCACCATCTGGCTGCAACCCGCCTAAGGAAAGTATTGGTGAATTGAGGACCTGGGGTACGTCCCCTGCTGCCTTAAGAGATGATTAGTGGCTGCTTGTCGGCAGATGTAGCTCCGTGGCATTTTAATATCCAAATGTCCCCCTGCCTCACGAGGGAGGCCACGGACTATTGAAGGTGTTTCACACAGAGAGCCCTGATTGCTGTGGCAATAATTTCCTTCAACAGCCATTAAACCACTTCTGAATGTGTTATTAAAAAAGAAAACCAAGAGAAAAGGGCAGGGGGTGGGTGTGGAGGGGGGCAGACATCCTTCCTATTTCCTGAAAAATATCAGCACTCACAGGGTGAGCTTTAACTAATCAGATGGGATTTTAATATCAGTGTGTTGGCTGCTATGAGTGTGCTGTCAGTCCTGCCCAAGTATCGGCAGAGTCCGGCACCCACTGGGGCGATTTGTGCCTGGGCTGCTCACCAGCATTCTCTGGTCCAAGAGAGATGTTGTCTTAAGTCTTCGAGAGTAAATGAGTCTTCTCAGCTCAGGTCCCTTCCTTGGCAAAACATCCAGTTCTTTAGTCAGGGCCTGTGCCCACCCCCATAAACCACTTACCAAAAGGTGGCTGGAATATATGGGTGTCCCTATCCATTCACTCAGCAAATATATATTGGGGGGGTCTGTATTAGTCCATTCACACTGCTAGTAAAGACATACCCAAGACTAGGTAATTTATAAAGGAAAAAGAGATTTAATGGACTCATAGTTCCACATGGCTGGGGAGGCCTCACAATCATGGTGGAAGGCAAAGGAAGAGCAAAGGCACGTCTTACATCACGGCAGGCAAGAGAGAAGTGCCAAGCAAAGGAGAGGAAAACCGGCCGGGCACAGTGACCCATGCCTGTAATCCCAGCACTTTGGGAGGACGAGGGCGGGTCCTGAGGTCAGGAGATCGAAACCATCCTGGCCAACATGGTGAAACCTCATCTCTACTAAAATACAAAAAATTAGCCGGGTGTGGCGGAGCGTGCCTATGGTCCCAGCTACTCGGGAGGCTGAGGCAGGGGAATTGCTGGAACCTAGGAGGTGGAGATTGCAGTGAGTTGAGATTGCGCCACTGCACTCCAGCCTGGTGACAGAGTGAGACTCTGTCCAATTTTTTTAAAAAGGTGGGGGTAACCCCTTATAAAACCATCAGATCTTATGAGAACTCACTATCACGAGAAGAGCATCATGGGGGTAACCATCCCCATGATTCAATTACCTCCCACCACGTCTCTCCCACAACACGTGGGGATTATGGGAGCTACAATTCAAGATGAGATTTGGTTGGGGACACAGCCAAACCATATCAGGGCCTTTACCAGGCACAGCTAGATGCTTGGGCTGCAATAGGGACGGTCTGCAGAATATCAGTAGTTACGAGGGCTCCAGCAACGGCCAACCAGAACAGATGTAAGTCAAGGGGCTGAAACAGGTTCCGCTGGCCCCCAGTGAGCCAGTCACTAACCCTCTCTGTTACTGGCTGGAGATTTCTGAGGCCTTGCTTAGCACAGTGAGTGTTAATTGGTCTGGAAGTATTTCAGCATTTTACCAGTTGTCGTAGTCATACTGACATGTGCCAAATGAACAAAACATGCCATGTCTCCCCTATGGAGTTTACCTTCTTACGAGCATGGAGAAGTGGTCAGCTTTTTATTTTCCATCCTTGTCGTAGGGATGCTTTTAAAGTCTTACCGAAAAATAGGAAAAGCTCCATTTTCTGTGCTAGGCCTGTGTAGGTTGTTTGAAAAATGATGAGACACAGGTTTCAGGCTATCAGGCACAGAGGTGGTTTGGAGCAACTTTTGATCTTCATTTACGGCAAGGCTGTGTGACATTTAACAGTGTCTGCACCCTTTCGGCTTAGAGGTTTTGTCTAGACAGCTGTCACAAGCATGCTCGCTCCCACTCCCAGAGGAATGAGTGAAGAGGGGTTTGCCCACATATAAGGGACCCGGGACAAATGCCCCCAAAGGGAGATGTGTTCTGTCCCCTTTTGATACCTTCTTTAGCGAGGCAAAATGACGGCTATGATGATACCCCACCACCACTTCCTGACATCATCTGCCCCATAGAGGGGCTGGCTTTCCCTGACGGATCTCTCCCTGGATAGGAAGTTCATTCTCACAGCCACACGCAGAGCCTGATGGATTCTCACTTCGGAATAATGGTCACAGATTATGAGATCAGTTTTGTCCCTGGAAAGGAAGAACTGTCAAACAGTTTCTGTTAACATCCCTGGTCCATAAAAGGAGGTTTGCAAGCACTTTTTAGAGGTATCACTTGCTAATCAAACCTGGATTTCTAGGTTATTCTCTGTTCTGAGAATTGCTAATGCTACCAAGAAGGCAAAAATGTGGAGAAAATACGGGATGGAGTGGAGAAAACAGAGAAAAGAGAGAGGCAGCAGCATTATTTTTCTTAAAAATTACCAAAGGGGAGAATGGATGCCACTGATGTTCTTCTGAGTTACTCTTGGATCAAATCTACCAGAAGTGTTCTTAAAATCTGTGTGTGACAACATGCTAGTAAAGAGGAAAGCAAGGGAGCTGTGGGCAAGACCACCAAATAAGAACAGCTCCAGCCTGTAGCTCCCAGCGAGATCCATGCAGAAAGTGGGTGATTTCTGCATTTCCAACTGAGGTACTGGCTCGTATCGTTGAGACTGGTTAGACAGTGAGTGTAGCCCACAGATGGAGAGTCAAAGCAGGGTGGGGTGTTGCCTCACCTGGGAAGTGCAAAGGGTCAGGAACTCCCTCCCCTAGCCAAGGGGAGCCGTGAGGAAATGTGCCGTGAGGCACAATGCCTTCCGGCCCAGATACTACACTTTTCCCACAGTCTTCACAACCCGTATACCAGGAGATTCCCTGGGGTGCCTATGCCACCAGGGCCCTGGGTTTCAAGCACAAAACTGGGCAGCCAGTTGGGCAGACACCAAGCTAGCTGCAGGAATTTTGTTTTGTTTTGTTTTGTTTTTTTCATAGCCCAGTGGTGCCTGGAATGCCAGTGAGACAGAACAGTTCACTCCCCTGGAAAGGGGACTAAAGCCAGGGAGCCAAGTGGTCTAGCTCAGCAGATCCCACACCACGGAGCTCAGCAAGCTACGATCCACTGGCTTGAAATTCTCTCTGCCAGCACAGCAGTCTGAAGTTGACCTGGGATACTAGAGCTTGGTGGGGGGAGGGGTGTTTGCCATTACTGAGGCTTGACTAGGCGGTTTTCCCCTCACAGTATAAACAAAGCCATTGGGAAGTTCAAATTGGGCTGAGCCCAATTCAGCTGGGCAAAGCTGCTGTAGCCAGACTGCCTCTCTAGAATCCTCCTCTCTGGTAAGGGCATCTCTGAAAGAAAGGCAGCAGTCCCAGTCGGGCTCATAGATCAGACTCCCATCTCCCTGGGACAGAGCAGCTGAGGGAAGGGGCGGCTGTGGGCACAGCTTCAGCAGACTTAAACATTCCTGCCTGCCGGCTCTGAGGAGAGCAGCAGATCTCCCAGCACCGCACTTGAACTCTGCTAAGGGACAGACTGCCTCTTTGAGTGGGTCCCTGATCCCTGTGCCACCTGATGGGGAGACACCTCCCAGCAGGGGTTGACAGACATGTCATACAGGAGAGCTCCGGCTGGCATCTTGTGGGTGCCCCTCTGGGATGAAGCTTCCAGAGGAATAAACAGGCAGCAATCCTTGCTGTTCTGCAGCCTCCACTGGTGATACCCAGGCAAACAGGGTCTGGAGTGGACCTCCAGCAAACTCCAGCAGACTTGCAGAAGAGGAGCCTGACTGTTAGAAGGAAAACTAACAAACAGAAAGGAATAGCATCAACATCAACAAAAAGGATGTCCACACAGAAACCCCATCCAAAGGTCACCAGCAT